TGGAAGGAAACGCTGGGGTGAAACGCTCTTTGGCTTTTTTTTTCGCAATAGAGGATCAATTTGAGTATGTTTGTTCCACGGTGACCCTCGTACACACGAAAAAAAAATGATCCAAGCTTGAACTTTTCCGACGGCCCCTGGTATTTTTCCATGCATAATGAGGTCAGCTTTGACCACAAGTTCACGACCTCTGTGGGGCAAAATTACATGTAGCCAATGCAATGACCATCTTTGTACATCAACAAAAAATACCGTTCACTGCGTCAACGTAACGTTGTAAACAATATGGGTGCACTAAGCATGGACAGGCCCTAATGTAACTACTTGTAGGCCTATTCCGAGGATTTTTGCAGCAACCGCGAAAATGTGACCATTTGCGCAGATTAAAAGATGACAAAACGTCAGGAGAAGCACCAGGTTCTGTTGAAATCTAGTAGCTCAAAAGCACCACACGTTATTTATAGGTCTAAATGAGGATGGTATTAGTTGTGAGCATTACGTACGGTGCACCTGCTCAAGCTTGGTTCTTTTCGATTGGTACGCAGTTGTGTTAAGTGGAACGCCCGACTTTACCAGCGTGGAGATTTGAGAGAGGGGGGAAGTCGTAACTTCAGGATTTCTGCATGTCTTCGGCAGGCCAGTTGTTGAGAAAGATTCGAGACTGCATTACCACGCGAGGATCCACCTCTGTCAGATCCACCTTCGATAAACCTGGATTTTAAGCTTCATATGGGCTAAACGTTCAAGGGTTCACGCTGCCTACGATATTCGCACAATGGCGGCGGGTATAGGCAGGAAGGAACGGCATAACAGAACTCAACGCAGAGTGACACTTCTGCGAGCGGACGTACTGGCAACCATTGGTGCCTTTCCCACGTTAATCATGATTTTTTTCCTTTGAGTAAAGAACACCTCTCCAAGAAGACTCTCCAATCACAGTAGAGGTTAAAAATCGCAAATGCAAGGTACCGAGGTTCCTCTGATTTTCACACTTACTGGTTTAAGTCTGTTGGTAGAAAGTAAAAAAAAAATACGCGCTGTACACTTTTCCTGTATTAACGAGCACTTTTTTAGTCGGGAAGTGGAAATGTCTGGATGCCTCAACGAGGTCACCGTGGAAGTTGACTTTGTAAATTACTGTCATTACTAACACGGCAACTTGAATCACATCTGCAGACTTACACTTTTTTTACAGCCGTAAACACATGCAGGCCTGGCCAACATCCCTGGTACTTAGGAAATTTTAATCTTCTGTACATACGGGCCAAGAACTCGGCTAGAATCATTGTCACACTGACAAGAGAAATTTTGCAACAAAGCTTGGGGCCGATGCCAAGTTTTCACCCCCAGCAGGCAGATCATTTCTTTGCAACGTTGACAAGAAAATTATCAACATCTCGACCATTTCAAATTAACATCTATAGCTAATTCGTTTCAATCAGATTTGCTACAGATTCCACACTTGTGCACAATCAACATGGTGGATGAGAAAACTCACCGTCCAATCCATCCAACCCCGTAATATTAAAAAAAAGTCTTCTTTTCAATAAAGAAAGCCATACCTTGAACTCGAAGACCTTGATTTCTTGAGAACTCACAGTCTGGGCAAATGTGAGAAAAGTGTTCACGTGTAGGCTTACCACAACTAACCGGTATCTCTCCGTTCGAAGGTTTTAGTTATACACCGGCCAGGGTTCACCACGTAGATCGAAAGCGCATTGCTAACGCACGCTCTGCATGTAAACTCTACACTGCAGATGTTGGGAAGGTATGCACACTATTGACCTGTACATTAATTTTGCATGCAAAGTTTGTACTATATAAATACTTGTCAGTTTCTTTTTCAAATCAGCAAGAACAGCATGACACTGGGTTAAGAAATCCAAACCAAAAACAGCAACGACTACATGTACATAGCTTACCTCCTAACAAGAACAGAGTATGCTTGACGTTACCACATTCGAATTCGACCCGAATTTTTGAGCAATTACCGTACCTCCCGGTTGGGAATTCGGGCTCTCTTTTCCCGTCGTTGTAAAAGAGCAAAAATGCTGCAAAGGACAGCGACTCTGCTGAAATTAAAGCCAAAACGACGATCTGAATAGTTGGAATTGTCTTCTAATTCTCGGCATACCGCGCAAGGTACCTCGTTACTCTGAGATCAATAAAAACAGGATTTCGCTCTATTATATACATAACACGCAACATAACTGCATTGACATTCCTGTATGCTTGGCTGTTCTATCGCCAATTGCCGGGTGACAATGCCAATTACTGGCAATTAAATGATCATTTGCATCCCTGGAAGTTTCGCGGGGAGATTCCTTTTCGTGACCTGAGCGAGAATTTGATCGGGCCATGCACCCGGGTGATCGCCCGCAGGGGCCCCACAAACGAACGGCAACGCACGGTGCGATTTCTGATTCCACGACCCGATAACGCAGCGTCAACAGAGGACATTCATGAGCAGTTTCACAAACATTTTGAAGACATGTGGCATGTTTCCTTCTAGTTTCTCGTGTTTGGAGATGTACCCTGGCGCTTTCAGAAGGCTTTAGTTTTCCAAAGAACTGTACGATCGACACACAAACAGGTTGAAATGTAGTAACATTTACCCACATGCATGTTTACAAGTGCAACTCTGTTCTTTTCACCAACAACAATTTCGGTGGAAAAATGTTGGTTCCACAGTGAGTTTTATCGGCAATGGCCGCTTTCCATCCCGAGGTCGGGTACTCTCAGATGTAATTTAATTTCAACGCTGGTGTCCATTCCATTTGAAGCTCCGTTAACATCATGCCAGCGTCCGGCCTTGACCCATAATGCAAACGAATTTGCTTGACAAAGAATAAATAGCAACAAAAACGCACCCAAAAGACTGAAGCCGCGAAAAGGTATGCTCCGTTGTGTCCATGCTCTCAACCTCGTTTTAGTCTTCCTTTCAAGCCGTGAATGCAGCTGATGCAGAGAGTCCAGTGAACAAACCTCAACTGAGCTTCAATAAGATGACATCAATATAACCGGGGACAAGGGTTTCATGCATGCAACTCAGGGACAAGACACGCTTTGTCAAAATACAGGACAACAAATGTCTAAATTCTGAGGATTTTGAAAGAGAAAACACCCCGTCTTGTGGACAGTGTACCTCTGACCATGGCGGAAGGAATAGATTGACACGCAATTGGTGACAAAATCAGCTACAAGGCTCATCATTACAAGTTGAAAGAGAAGGAATAACAGAGCTGAGACTAAAGAACTCCTATGGTATGCCATCATTTGTCCACTTTTCCCAGGACACAAGTATTAACTCTCTTTACACGGAGCCAAACTCCTATTCTTAACATGGTGGGTACTTTACTGGCACTCCCTCTGCCCAATAAGCGGCACTCCGGTGGTAGAACGTTTACCCGCGCTTCGGTCACTTGATACGGTCAACAAAGGGTCAGGGTTTTTTTTTACCAGCAGGGCGCTTCAAAAGCGCGGTCAAACGTTTTAAATCGAGGCATGGCCATCTCCTCAGGCCAGATAAGCTGCCCAACGGAAGTCAGCCCCGAATTGCAGCGAGATAAAGAATCCTTCGTGCATGGTTCTGTTTTTAACAGATAATCCCGACCGCAAAACAAGTAAAATCACGGTGGGATGTACATGTTCATGGATACTCTTGACAGTGCTGGTGGTCAGTTTTCTTGGTTAAGTCTTAGATTAGCGTTTTCAATTCATCACACGATGCACTCGCCAGAGTGTATTGTTGATGATCCCTTTATGTGTAGCGAGGAAGCCCAGGGCGTGGAAAAAAACCTGGCCCTATCACCGGCACCGTGCACTCGGCAAGAAGACTTGCGACTCGATGCTGGGCCGCGATGGGGGCAATGTGTGCACGCAACCCGCCGGGCCACGCAGAATGCGCACCCACCACGACGGGACCGGGTCGGGCCTGGCCGCCGTTGGGTGAGGCACACGGCGTGGAGCTACATACGCCGTGGCGTCCCTTAATTGATCGTGTTGGTACACTTGTTGCTTCGGTGTTGCTCTGTCAAGTCAGCGACACTCGGGGCAAAACGGCCAAACCACACTCGTCACATTCAGGGGGCCTGTCGACCACACGATCCTCGTGTAAAAGTGAGCATAAAATTCCATCATTGCTTCCACTAAGTCCATGGTTTCAGCTTCAAACATTCTTCCACATTAATAATCGGTCAAGGGCTACTTGTAACTCCAATACCGCTATTTGGGGAAGGGCCCTTTATCTGTAATGTTTGTTGCAATTCATGAAAAGGGTTGGGCTCAAAACCCAAATACCGAAGCAAATATTGGCCTATTTTTCGATGAACTTCCATAAGCTTATACAGATATGAAAGAATCTACACCACACCAGTCCTGAAAAACATCTCATCAAACAGTGAAATGGGCCCTTACTAGTATGAATAAATGCAAAACGCATGACTGATGCAAGAAATGTCAAATTCGAGAAAAGTAACAAACTTACGGCTTAGCATCATTTGGGTCTGATTGTCAAAATTTTCGACCGGAAAAAAATCAGGTGCATGAATGTTACTCATCCAGACCCATCCAACATGGCAGAAAGAAGTTCGGGGTTTTTTCCCCAGTCCATGTGGATTGACCACGTAGGACTATTTTTAGGCCTCGAAAAGTTACCACAACAGTATTAACCTGCCGTGGTCATAATCCCCAAATCGACATGTGCATGACGTGTATGGAGTAGCGGTTGTGGTTTTTTCTCTCGCTCCATAGACAAGGTTTCTGGTAGAGTGCCAAGCTGTTCGCCCATGGTTCTAGGGGAGCGATTCGACCCTCCCCGGTCACTCAAGTACAGGGCAACCGCTCCTGGTAATCGTGACGAAATGACCGCAGAACAGCCACATTTTGACGCACAGGATCACACAGGGTCGAACAAGTCAAGATTTGCTCAAAAACAGTGGAATCGGCACGCAGCTTTTCGAGGCCCAAGAGCGAGGGAAGGGACAAGAGAGGGAACGTACCTGCACTTGAAGCCATGCCGTTTGGATGTCGACAATATTATTATCCCGCGCGGCTGACACTGACGCGATGCCTCCAGCACGCTATTTTCCCCCCTGACGCCGCTGAAGTCCACCCGTTGTCTTCCACAAACCTCACACAACGGGCTGGGGGCTACTGGATTTCCCTCCCCGGTCCTATTCCCCACCCCCCAGCTACATCCACGGCAACTCGCCTCCAAATGTCCCTCGGAGTTCGGATGGGCCGAATTCCCAGCCGTGAAAGAATACTGTACTTCCTATTCGTAATACCGAGCACTATGGAGATCACCGCTGGGGTATAGAGAACGCACTACCACAGCTGACACGGACCGTACTCGCGGTAGTCACACTGTGTGTATAATAATAAAGTTCATACGCAAATTCACCGAGCATTCTCTTCGGCTCACCACACGTGACACCGCTCTATCCAAGTGAGCGTACATTCCACCCCACTTTGTTATCGTGGCGCACACTCTCTGTACACTTTAAAACCCCGCAGTGGTCCAATTGGGCCCTTCCGACATAATGGGACCGCAGTTCCGGTCAAGCCAGTGGTCGAATTAGTGGCCAGTTGTCCCCTCGCCCTCCAAAAAAGACGGTTGGACAATACCCAAGCGACCAAGGAAAAACCGATAATCGATCGGGGTTGTTGGCTCATGAATAATTCGCCCATGAACTTGCGCGGAGAGATGACCCCTGCTCGTAACGGCAATGAAAATTTACAAAACGTGCCAAGGGGGTTTCATGGATAGACAGCCGTGGTATCTTACCACAACCTTAGTAGCCTCGACCCAAGTCACATGGTGGATGAATGTGATAATGCCAAAATCGGATACTCGAATTTTTATCGATATCTTAAATTACGTAGGTATAAGGTCCGTGTTTACAAAAAGTGGAGGCGGAATTTTGATAAATAGCATGCACAATTCTTTTGAAATGGAACTTACTCGAACTGTGATAAACTGTTGGAAGGAGAGCCAAATAACATTCACGTTACACTTGTGCAGTTATTTGCTTGGACGACAGGGGTGTTTCTTACTGTTTGGCAGTTTATCTCACTGTCATAACCATCATGCGTAGTCAATCTTCGAAAGAGCATGAAATCATGCTGTGGAAATGACAGTTTATCGTGATACTAATCGATCACATTTTCGACATTTTCATCAAAACACGCCCGCGTCTCCGTCCTCACCTCAACTTCCAGGGTTACCTAACTTCGTGTTCACAATTTTTTTCCAATCTTCACATCGTCGAGTGCAAATTTCAACCTATCGAGGGTATTGCCTATCATAGAACAGGGATTTGACCGCATCCATGCATTTGGGGTTGAGGGAAAACTGGCCGTGAACGGATTACCTCGAAGTGCTGGCATAGTATGGACGGGTAGCATTTACAGTAATTATCGAGTCTAGAAGGACCCCTTACACAAAAACAGCATGCACTGAAGTAATACAATGTGAAAGCAGGTAACATGTTCGGCAGACCTACATGTACAGTGTACATGTACATCTACGTACATTGTACATAGACTGAGTACAATGTTGAAGTACATGTACATATGTACATGTACAAGTAGTTAGTATCTCAACGTTGCTAAGTTTACAACTTGACCCGTGCCCCGGTCAAAACGCAAAAACCAACCGCATTCCAGAGCCAGCATAGCAACAGAGGGCCCAGACCGCAACGTGTTCCCCACGGGAATCGGGCCCACAGGATAATATATGTTCATCGCCAATGGGCAAAGGGTCTAGCATCTGGGTCTGAGAAAAGTCCACGGAAAGTTTCCCCCTACCCTGGGATTGGGTTGAAACCCTATAAGATGAGGTACCATGGCATTCCAACTTCCGAGGTCCATTAACCCCGATTAAGGCTATTTACCCCCGAGGTCGGCCAACCCGAACTTCTGGCTGTTTACCCAGTGATGGGGACCAATGAGTTGACCAAAGATCCCGCTCCTGACCTCTGGCCTCGGCATACGGGCCCAATGATGAGAAGTTTTGTTTAAATCGTCATGTTGCAGCTAGCCCACCTGTGTTCATTCCGTTTTGTCACTACCTCGAATCCACGTGGTTCGAATCAACATGCATGCTGAAAAATTTGCACATTACTTGAAAGTTGCCAGATCGATACATCGATGAGGATACTATTTGTCCCTCCAAAGTGCGGTCGCGTATTTTGATGACATTTGAAATCATGTGTTTCTGACTTGATGGATTAAAAAGCGATTTGCATACAATTGCCATCTGGCAATCGTAAAACCTGTGGATACGGTTCATGTATTTATTTCTCTTCCTACGTTTTGCCCGTATTTTTACAAGCCCCAATTCCAAAGACATATTTGAGATTTGCTTGTGTGTTTACAATATATTCAGCTCTTCGCGAAACAGCTCAAAACATGAACCGAATGCGCTTTCACTTTTACTTTGCGCGCGCACTACATGCAAAGTTACCGGTTACTGTTGTGAGTCTAAGATGTGTCACAGCGAGAATCTCAACGTGTGTAAAACTTCGTTGTCGCTTTACACATTTCCGACTGAGTTATTGTTTGAAGAGAGCACTGTGTTTTATTTTTCCTGTAAATGATAAACTCCTCAGCCTTACAAAAGTCTTCCTTAGAACTTGTTGAGAAACTAGGAAGTTTTTTCCTCCGAATTTCAGATTATACTGAGTATCGCGTATACATGCAACAGCCGTTCACCAGGTAAGTTGAGTAAAGTATGAGGAATGCGCACGCATTCATTGGGACGTGGGCGGGAAATTGTAAACTACAAAAAAATCTCCCCAGCGAGATAAGATTTTGTTGCGTAATGACCACTTGGAAATCGAAAGTTATTCGAGAAAGAAATACGCCTTTGTTAGTATTTGCCCCTCCGGCCACTGGACACTGTGTTGGCCTCCGGTTTTGTTTGATTTGTCGTGCTAGGGTACGGTCTTTTCTGCCAAAATTGTTTGACTGTGCGTCATCTACAAGAACACGAGGCTGAAGTACATGGGCATTCCAATAGGACTCAATGACAATCGAAGCTGTATGCTCGATCGAGATGGCCTGCTCCGCGGGTCAACAAACTTTCTTTATTCTTTCCCTTACCTCATAGCACCGCCATTCAAGTCTTGAACGTGGTTCGCATCGTCACAATGGACTGAGTTCCCCCCCCAAAAAAAAAGACAATAAAAGTCTTCTGAGAAGACTGAGGTCGTGAGAACTGATTTACTCAGGAAGAGATACAAAATCTACGTCACAAGAAGAGACGGTCACAAAAAGAGAGACGAACTTTACATCCGTTTCTTTGGGAAAGTTATCAACGCTGAAAGACAGCAATTTCAAAAGAACAATATTTTCTTACGGAGTAAGTTTTCCTGCCCTCTTCCTCATATCAGACTTTTATCAGCCGAAAGGAAAGAAAGCAGGCATTTTACTTTGACTTAATTTTCATCGTTGTCTTGGGCTGAGACTGATCGCAATTAAAGGGGATGTTTTGTAGCGGAGATAAATGTTAAAATTGACTGCTAAACCCCTATTTCCGACCAGACGTCGAAATAAAAGCCGTGGGCTAATGTTTTATCTCCAGTCAGCCCATTATCGAGGTGACTTATACCACGCATGCCCAATGCACAAACACCGTGTCAAGCAATTAAACACAGTCTTTATTATATCTTTGTAACATGTTTAGAAGAAAGGCATCACGTGTCCAGTAAGTTCCAGTATGTCAGCAAACCTGCAGGTTTGGGGGCAAGGGAAGGCAAAATGGACCCCCCAAAAAGGTCCATTTTCATTTTCATCTTTCATCCTTGAAAGAACCCTCCACTACTTTCCCGCTGGATACACCACTCCAGTAAACACTTCCATCGGCATATATGCTCAATTCAAACAACCAGTTTAATATTCACCCATGAAAAAAAAATGAGACAAGAAAAGTGTTCAGACCTATTCAACGCCCCAGTTCAGACATCACCTGCTTACTTTTTGTTGGACAAGCAACTCACCATGATATTTATGATTTGTTCCTTTTATAACTGTGGTGTATCCTTGGCTCAATTATTATTTCCAGCACAAACCTGGACTATCTCAGACCACGGCAGCTGCTCAATCTATTTTTAATGAGCCAAAAGGTCGCTCTGGTCATTCACGTTGGTAACAAAAGCAACCAACCCTTCAAGTTGCGCGCGACAATGAAGTGAACTTTAGAATTGCTGCGCGCGAGGTCACTTTTTTGTCGTTGCTATACACATGACGTACACGTGCCGCCATTTTTCTAACATATTCGCCATGATTACGTTCATTTCACAGCTCCATGATTTCACTGGGCAGTAGGCCCCATTTGGAGTGGGGGGGGGCAGATTTGTCTGGCAATTCAGGGTTAAATTAACGGCTGGTCTGGTAAACGAAGAGGAACGAGGTCAACCCACGCATGCGCGTTGATCAACACAGTGGCAACGAAAAGCTGTTAAGTTTCTCACAGAATTCTTTTTCGAATGGAACAACCTATTAATTGAGTACATTTTGCACAAACCGATTCACGCGGGAGAAACATTAACGAATATGCATACATGTAAGTCGACGGGCCCCATTTCCCAGTAACTATGATGGGGCTGTCGGTGCATGTTTGACTGAAACCAAACAATAATCACGATGGGGGGGGCACAAGGACAGATTAACAAATTGGTCTCGTGCAACGCCGTTTAATTTTCAACAGAATACAGCAATTGATCGAACGAAAGTATTTCTTTAAAATTCAAGCGGGAAAGCCCCATGTTATATTGGCATACAACGGCGACATCGCTTGTTGAAAATCGGAAGCGCACGTAAACTGAACTTCAGGATATAAACCAACGTGTACACGGCTTTGTTGAACTTAACAACACTGAGATAAAATTAGACCTACGGCGCAGCTAGCTGAGCTTTACAGTTTAATAAATCACATTCGTGTCCCCCTCCGGTCAAGGTCTTTTACATTAGCATTAGCCCTATTTATTCATCTAGGGGCCCCACGGAACAGGTTCGCGCCCTGCCTTACGACACAATGAGAACTTATAGTTTGCCTACAATCACACGGTAGTCGGGCTCCCCCTGTGGAATTAGGCGGTGTGACGCACTTCGGAGCCTGGACTTCGGCCTGATCGCGCACGCGCGGCTATGCTCCCCCACAATGCGGAAATGAGAGAAGTGGGTCACATCCACGGGTCACAAAACTCGCGGGGATTGACACTGCATGCACTGGGCACAGTGTGGCTGTACATGCATACTGATGTGCTTTACGAGGGTTACGGAACGGGGACCATTCACACACGTACACAAAGCACACGCTCCATTCTGACCTCTGTACTGTACCGCTGTATTAAGGTCAAGTTCTTTAAAGGTGCACCGAGCCAAAGCGCGATTGTGAATTTACCAACCCAGATTACCATTGCCTCGGACGGCAGAGGGCTTCAGAACAACTATCTATCAGGGCAACTGTCGCCCAAGCTAACAGACGGGCAATCAATGTGCCTAAAAATTGAATATATTGACCCCGATATTTGTTAAATTTGGCTTTGAAAAAAACACAACATGTCTGTGGTCAGTCCCTGTGCTGTGGTACATTTATCTAAATTTCTCGATTGTTTTGGGCATCGAGTTTGTTCTACTAGGAGAATGTTGTTCGGCCTGACGTGTGTATTATTTACCAAGGAAGTCAATTTCGTTCCTACGTCTGCGTATGTTCTTTCAAAAATCATTAGTTAGAAATTCTAGAAAACATGGTTTCGAGAATGTTAGTTGTGCGGTGACAGTAAAGTGCGAATGGTAATTAAAGGGTAGAAACCGTAAAGTTCAGGGCTAAACTTTATAGACTTTCATAAATCTGTCAATAATTCAGCCGATTCAGCTCTGTGATCCTGAACCACACAGTTTTCCCATAGCAGTTCCTCGCATAAATAATTATACATGTACAGTAGTTAGATCCCAGGCGCACGTGCACTAGTACTCAGGCTACTTTAGAGTACGCATAGATCGGACGCTAGGTTTGCGATATGGGCACTTTTTGCAGGAGTCATTTTTTCCCTGTGATCTTGAACAAAAGGAAGAGATAGTTCATGATTTATTCTATGATTTGTCGAGTTATCCACACGATTTGAGCCTATTAAATTTCTAAATAAGTTTATCAGAAAGTGAGATTTCCTGTGATTTTCAGAGAGACACAAACACGGTGTAAGTGAAATGTGATGTTTCTTCCTTATTATTGCATGGTTTCTTATGTGATCAAGATTCTTCTTGCGGAAAACATATAGATCAGTACTGTTTAATTGACTTATAAATACTTGTAAGGAATTAATATAAACAGATTCTTCGTAGATGGTGTTATTTGCCAAATATAGTAGTGACTTGATTTGTTTGATAGTCCAACCATGGAGGTCCTTCCTCCATGGTCCAACATTAAGGTTCACTTATTGTTAGTTCCCGTTTGTATTTTCATACTATAGATTTCGAACCCGACTGCGCTGATGTAATTGCAGAAGTAGTTTCAATACGGCCGTTTCACAATAGTGCGCCACCAAGAGTTTGCAACGCGTTAGCCAATCACAATGCGCGAAATTTGTCGACCCAGTGCGCGTTTGGAAAGGGTCAACAAATTTTGCGCATTGTGATTGGCTAGCGCGTGGCAAACTCTTGGTGGCGCACTAATGTGAATCGCCCGTATAAGGGAGTGTCCTGAATGTTTGCAAATAAAACGGATAAAGGCTAATACCAATTTGTATAAACTTATCTGGATTATTTACAAAGACGTAAGATTTATCACAACTCTCTCAGGCTGATCAAAATAAAAATGGCGTACACCATTACACAGAGGCCGACAAATATTACGCGGAAACATTTGATGACGTTTTCCGAAAAAGTCCTTGTCCGGTTAAGACAAATTACTACTTGATTTATAAAGACTTGAAATGAATTTCCTCATATTTTGATTTGCTAAGAAGTTTGTACTTAAATACGAAAAAGTGATCGTTAAGATTGTTTTTCTGAAAGGCAATTATGGGTTTTATATTTTGTTTTGTTCAATGGAATCAGCTGTGAAACTTAGTTTGTTGAATTAATGTTACGGTTCTTCATTTTGGGACATCTGGAACTTCTTGAGTGACCTATCAGAAGTATATGGAATTAGCCGAAAACAAATGAAGATGAAGTAAGAAATAAACAAAATTCCGGAAATGTTCTGTTGTAATTGTTGCATTAAAATGAAAGAAATATAATCTATCAGCATTTGTTATTTTGTTTATCCGTCCTTAAAATTTCGACTGAGCCCATCCCTTGAACAGAAAGAAATCGAAATTTAAATCAAGTAGTTTAACGAATGGAACAATAAACTCAAAACTAATCAACAGATTAAGACAACTACCTAAACTGACGAATCTAATAAACGGCTAACCAGTGCTTAAAACTTGCAATAAGGAAAACATTTTTGTGAAATTTATGTTTATTTTTTTATTTCAACTATTTTTCTTTATTTGTTAAAATTTGTCCTTTTTTCATTTTGTTAGTTTGATTTTTTTTTATTGTGTGTGTGTGGGTGGGTGTGGTTGTGTGTGTGTGTTTTTTTTTTTTTTTTTGGTGATTTCTATATTTTTCAAAAAGGTCAACAGACAAAGTGTACTCCCAAACCATGTAAATGACAATCATAAAGACTGTTACCAGTTAAATGATACTCTAACCAATTCCATACCGAAATTCTCAAAAACATTTTCTCCTTTATGCAAATAGGCAAATTGGACGGACGCATGCTCTCTACTAACACAGGTTGGCAAATGCGGCCGTCAACACTGTCCGCAGTGTAGGCGAGCTGAGAGTAACCATTACCTGGAGCGTTGACGGTCAATCAAAACCATTTTCACAGCCTTTGCCCGATACTTGAGAACGCTTTTCTCGAAACTAAGTGAAGCTTTCAGTGTCCTGAGGTTGAAAAAACAATTCCTTGTCTTTGAAATTGGCACTCATGAACTGAATCTGCTTGCCCTGAAGAAGGTACTCAGTTACCGAAAGCTCTGCAATCACTTATTTCAGAGCACTGATTTGATATTATATTCTTGTCGATATTCAAACTATACTAGTACAGAAACGGCGATAGTGACGCATGCATTGAGATTTGTATTGTTACGTCATCGATATACGCAACTTTGCCAAACAGTGGTAGTAATGCGCATGCGCCTTATCCTATTTGCATATTTCATAGGAAAGGTTATGAATATTCATATCAACGCTCATTACAATGTATTGACCAATGCAGCACAGTCTACACGCGTGCGTTTCGTTTGTGACGCATTTTAGTCAACGTGGACAGCGTTTAATCATGCATATTGCTAACCCGAAACTCGCGCGTTCAGTACTTGTTGACTTAACGCCGTGATTTCGTTTATGTCGAAACAAACATTTATGTCATTAATTTGCACAAGTTCTATGGAGAAACTTTTAGCCAAACACAAAGTAGTAATAAAGGCGAAAAAGTGTGTAAACAAATCAGGCAGTGGAACGATAGCAAACTAGCGAGTAGCAGCGTTTTGTATCTCGGAGAATTTTGAGCTACTTTTTAGTGAGTATCCTTCGAAAATCAACAATTGATCAAGAATTCTGCCATGGGTGGTTGCAATCAGTCCAAAGTTGTGCCGGCTTCGTCACCAGCCGAAGAATTGTCCACGGGGATGATCAAGAACAAGTCCCTCTCCTTCTGGAAATTCCTTAAGAACCGTCGCAACATGATTCGGGTAAGTTGGCTCAATAACGTACAAAAATTGCTTTACTGAAAAATGAAGCCGATAAATATTGATATATTATTTTGTCAAGGTTGCTCCTGAAATTGAAATTTCTCCCTGGGATGAATGTACTGTTAATCTGCTTGTGCCCGATTGTGAAGGTATTTTTGGGTGTGGTAACATATTGATCGAACATTTTATTAACCGACCTTTCTTGGCTGGTGTGTTTGTTTTTTTTTCAAATGCAAACCTTAAACATAGAGATAATAAGCATGCGAAACGAAACAAAGTTTGATAAATGTTATTTTGGCCTGGATGTCACATGACACATGCAGGTAGCCCCTGCCCTGCCCGAGGACCAGCACACCACCGATGTGTCAGACCGCACCATCGTGGGTATCAACAAGCCACCTTCTCCCATCCACCCCCGCTCGCGTGCCAGTCATGACGACAGCCCTTCACCGACGTTCAGCGAGGTCAGCTTGTCTCCTTACATGATCACTGAGGACACGGCTGATGGAGATGAGTTGCTGGAGCTGGAAACTGCCGAGCGTCCAAAAACACCGGGTAAGTCATCGGTGACATCATCAAAACCACCTCAAAAGGAAGAACAAAGAAATCATTATTTGCCACTTAACTTTGTTTTTAGCTGAAATTGCTTGGTTTACTTGTTGGTTCTTGCTTCAGATCTCTACGTCTTGGGCACTCCTCTTTTTGCCAAGAAGATCAGCAACAAGAAGAAGCTCCATGCTCGTCAGGAAAGTCAGGAAATCCTTCGGGAGCTCCGCAATGCTGGCATCGTGGCTCGCCCAGAGACACGCGCGGGAGGTGTCGCCTATGAGTATTTTGTCAAGGAGAAATTTGGCCTGCTGAAGAAGCCGCCAGCCCGCCTGGAGAGGCTGAAGAAAGCGAAGAAGATGAGAGAGGCACAAGGTGATGCCAAGCTGAGAGAAGAGATTGAGAGTCGCATGCAGATGGCTGAAGAACGTCGCAAGGTAAGGTGACCGAGAACATGTGGCCTGATAGAATTAATACAGATGCAGCGATTGACATATTGTAGCTTCAATGGGTTAATGGATTACTGTTCAATATTAAAGATAAATGATGTGATGTTTTAAAATTAAATCCACAGCAAGTACTTGACAAGGTTCGCATCCAGCAGACACAGCACTTGGTGTTGGACATCCGAAGAGCCCATAACAACTTGGCCGCTCTGGAGGAAGACAAGATCCAAGTAACAGCAGAACGCCTCCAACAGAAGGAGATCATGTCTCAGGTAAGTAGAGCTGCCCCACACATAGGCCTCAAGCCCCAAATGCAATCACCTCACATCCAGGGATCTGGGTGTTAGTGAGAAGGTCGACGCTGAAGATTTCTTCCTCATAATTATCATATGCACAGGTTATGCAGGGTCGTGCCATCGTCAATCGTGACCTGCGCAACATGCAAAAGAAACACCACCACACCGAAGTGCGCCTGCGTGCTACCCTGAAGAAGATTGCCGAGAAGGATGAGGAGCTGCGCGAGGCGAGGAAAGTCATCGAAGTATCACCGATGAGAGGCGAGGGACAAGACCACAGACAGTAGGAGGAAAAGGCGGGCGAGCAAATCTCCAACTAAACGACCATCAGCTGTTGGGGAATAATTATGTACTATGTACATGTCGATACCTGTCCAATGGATTTAATTCTTGTACTATGTACATGTCAGTATCGGGGATGATTACATCATTTTGTACTGTGTACAAACGGTCATTACAGAAGGGGGGTTCAAAGGAAAAACTTTTTAAAAGGAGACAGAAAAACGGAGGGGGGAATTTCACAATATATGTAAATAACTGCTGTCACAGGCAAATTGAGAGGGGAAATTTGAAAAAGAAAGTAAATTTTATTGTGTCAGGATTGCAAATAAATCAAACTCAGCTGGGAGGGGTGTCTAGATTAATACTGGAAAATTTGATCTTTTCAACAGTATTGAGGGAAGTCATTTTGAGGAGAGCCGAAAACCGCTTCAACCAGAAATATTAATTCATCAAATGATTTCTTCAGAAATACTTACCACCGTCTTCACATCTTAATGACTTTGAGACCTCATGTTTTATTTGTCAGTGGAATGTAAGGAAGGGCTTGCATGATTTTCTTTTACCAACAGTTATTCTCAAAGATGGAAAGCGATTCTATCAGTATGGGTAAAAAAAATCTCAGAAAAAATCAGCGCACAGGAATCATTCCATGGCTTTAAATCTGCGCGCCGGGTTAGTACAAATTCTGGATTCTGTCTCGAATCACTTCCATTGTGGTAACAGTGTTCTTAGGCTTTTGGCGTCATTTTAATTTCATCATTCATTTCTTTTGTTCATAGTTGTGGTTGGTTTTGATTGACTGTGACAAGGTGTGGTTGACCGCGGATGGTCATGGGTGGTTGACTGATTGTGGTGTTGTGGTGTGGGTCGATACAGTTGATTTGGATGTGATCAATTGTCGAGTTGTGGTTGGATGCGGTTGATTGTTGTAAGGTGTGATTGGTTCTGGTGGTTGTGGTTGAATGGGGTCGAGTGGGGTTGACTGCAGTGGTTGTAGTTGGCTGTGGTTGATTGTAAATGGGTGTGTTTATGGTTGGGTGTGGTTAATCGTGGTATTCTTGTTGATTGAAGTTTATTGTGGTTGGGTGTGGTAAGATGTGATTGGTTCTGGTGGTTGTGGTTGAGTGGGGTTGACTGCAGTGGTTGTGGTTGGCTGTGGTTGATTGTGAATGGGTGTGTCTGTGGTTGGGTGTGGTTCATTGTGGTATTTTGGTAGATTGAGGTTGGTTGTAATAAGGTGTGGGAATTGATTATGGTCGAGTGTGGTTGATGTTTGTGGATGCTGCTGTTTTACTCAGTAGTAGTTGATTGTGGTTGAGCGTGGTTGATTGTGAGTGGGTGTGATAACTGGTTGTGATTGGCATGTTTGATTGATGTCGTTTGCGGATGCTGCTATTTGCTTGGGTGTGGTTGATTGTGATTGGGTGTGGTTGAGTGTGGGTCGGGTGTGATTGATTGTGTATGGGTGCAGTTGATTGTGGGTGGGTGTGGTTATGGTTGACTGTGGACGGTTAATTTGGTTGTTTTAAGTTTTGGTTTGGTTCAGTTCTGATTAATTTGGTTGTCTTGTAGGAAGTTCATCCGATATCAGTTACCTTGCTACAATTTATTTCATCAGGTCGGTTAGCTATGAACTGATCCGTAGAGTTGGTAATCAGTTACTAGTCAGCAGTTGTGGTCGGTCAACGGTCGATATGTCCAGTTCTTTATCAGTGAATACTCTATCAATAGCTTATCAATCTTCAACTCTTTAGCATAAGTTCTATTCCTTCTTCCATTCGTCTTTCACTTCATATTTCCTGTCTTTCTTACCTTAAACCTTCCACCTTGAGTTCTTCGCGCCACTTTTTTTTCACTTCTTCCCAACCGTCAGCAAGAAGTATCATCGGTTCTATATCGCATGACTTAATTGCTTGGCGGGCTTTCGAAGAAGTCTTTCTAGTTTCCTCAGCTTTCCTTCTACCTTTCTCGTGTTCTGTCTTCCCTCAAGCTATCTCTTTAATACTCCATGCTTTCTTGTTTTATCTTCTTTTCTGTACTTTTATGCTTTCGTCTTGCCTTTACAGCCTTCTGACGTTTTCCGTTCTTAAGTCTTAATTTTTTTAGGAGTTCCGGATCCCTCCAATATTAGTACAAATTTACCCGCACCGAGATGGTTTGCACGAGATCCCCCATAGTCAGTTTTGTTTATTCGTAAAATTTCGCGGTTCGGTTAGTCATTTTAATTCAGGTTAATGGAAGGTCCATTGTCTTGGTTGGAAATGTTGTTTTGTGGTCATTCAGCGTCATCTCAAACGTTATTTTTTTCCACATATTCGTGTAATACATTTCTCAATATTTCACATTTTTTGGTGTCGAAATTTTCGTTTGTGGGTGCAAGTCGCGGACAAGGGATAAAACCTCACATTTCACTGAACTCTCTCGAATAAAGATACACATTTTTATCACACAATTAAAATCCAACAATATCAACAGTTCTCTTGAAAACTCTGGATGCAATCTTGCAAACAACTGAAATTCAACTTCAAAATAAACTCTTCAATGGTTTTCATCTCCTAGATGGTTCAGTTCAACGCACATTGAACATTCACGAACATGAAAAAATGGCTCTCCTCAAAATGACAACTGCCTTACATTTCGGTGTCCACAGCACCTTATCACTGGTAATCATTCATATGTCAACAATCAATTCACTGGTAACCTTCTTCATGTCACGTATACGCTCTGGGGAAACTCTTTGCCTGTTGACCTTTTTGTAAAAAAATAAAAATACAAAAAAAAAATAAAACTTCAAAAGCAAAAAAAAAATTCAAAAATGACAAAATGGAAAAAAAAATAAAAAAATTTAAAAACCACCAAAAAAAATTTAAAAACAAAATTTAAAAAAATGATTTCTTTTTAATTTTATTTTACATTTCGTTTAATTTTAAATTTCGGTTAGATTTTTATTTAATTGATTTATTATTTGGCTAATTATTTTCTGAAGTATTTTATTACATTTTTAGTTCATTTTCTTTCTGTTACGGGGTGGATTTAATCAAATTGAAATCGCTTAAGAATGGGTAAACACAAAAGAACTTATTAGATGGCATTTCTTATATTTTAATGCAGCAATTACAACAGATAATTTCCAGCTTTTTTCTTTTAATTTTAATTCACTTTCATTTATATTTACTTTATTTTATATATCTAGGATAGATGTACTCCAGACAGACATTTCAAATATCTCAAAATTAAGAATAGTAAAAGTAATATTACAAACTGCAAAATGAAATTTTAGTTTTAAATCATGATTTGAAGGAACAAAACAAAATAAAAACTTATGGTCTTGATGACAAATCAATACGCACCTTTCAGGTTGACACTATATGAAGAAATCAAACAATTCCTTTTGCAAATCCAAATATGAAGAAATTCAACTCAAGTCTTAAAAATCAAGCCACTTCATCTCAAACAAATAGGGACTTTCGGCAGACATCACCAAAATTATCTCAGAACCTTTTTCGGCCTCGGTAGTGGTTTACAGCATCTTTATTTTTGAGCAGAAAACCAAATCAATGGCTTGATAGAGTTGTGGTACCTCATATCTCTGTAAATTATGTGCATACGTTCATGAAAATTGGTATTAATTCCATTAATACTAAGTAACTCTGAAAGCAACTTCTATTTTTCAATGTTTCTAAACTGGTTAGAAAAATATATCACCAATGTTACAAGATAACGTCAATCACCAGCCCCGTACCACTGTACTCTGTTCCTTGTAATGATGGCTATTGTCTGGTTTGAAAATTCCTCGATTCCGTCTTGGAGTTTAATAAACTTGCTATGAGCTACGAAAAAAAGTTTCCAGGTTGTCACTATTTATTTCTGTTACCTGATGTGTCACAGTTTAAGTACCCATCAAAAAGTTTCATTGTCAGATTTTAAAGGGGGGGTATTTTTAAAAGTCACCACCGCTCGATTCTTGGTCTTTTCTGTTTAAGCAAAAAATACATTCACTTTGCACAACTATTGTTCTCCTTCAAGTAGATATAAAATTCTGTTGACTTTTCCCATGATTAAAATGCACTTTTCATAAATACAATTAAACAGCGCTTTATACACACACCAAGAGGGAACAACAACATGGTTGGAACACCGAGTTTCACTCTATACACAAAACACACAATACAAAGTATATTTCAATGCTTGAGTCCCATCACAAAGTTCTTGTCTTAGAACCAAGAAGAAACCACTTTAAAGCACACGCCAGAACGGAATAGAGGAACTGATTCTCAAGTACCATCATCTGGTACTTGAGCAATTACATCTGTCTTTGGAGTTTTTGTAAAGAACCTCTGAGAGTTCATCAAAACATAACCAGTGCCCATGAGAAGTATAACAATGATAGGCTGTGTGGTCCCAAATCCTTTAAAATCCATCAAAGTACTTTGATGTAGAATTTTGAAGAAATTGGGCTGGGCTGGGATGAATAAATGGAAAGACATAGAAAAATTATAGTTAGCAAAGTACAAAACAGGTACACATTGCCCAATAATATAATAGACCACCTCAAATAGCAAGTATTTACATTTTAGAACTGCTTGGTAGCCATTAGAATAGATCTCGCACAGACTGGAGGACCTGAACAAACAGGAGCTGAGGTGAAGTAATGTCAACTAACAGGAACTTGTTAGTCATAAAAGAACCAAAATTAACCGGAACTGATTAGTAGAACCAAAACAATTCAGCTGGAACAAAACGGAGCCTAAAGGAACCGAAAATCATCAAATGCTCATTCTGATTTGAAAAGAACTTTGAGAACCAAGCAAACAACATGGAATAACTTGGAAATGGATGGTACTACTTGGCACCAGATGGACTAGTGTGACAAATGCTGCAACAGCTCCACTGGAACTTATTTATACTTATTAGAAGCACATGTAAAATCTGATTATCTGAAAAAGAAAATCATACTTGCTGCCGATATAGTCACAACACAAAAACTTGTCCACTTTTTTTGGCAAGGGTTGGAGACATTTCATAATCACAAAGTCACTATTAATCACACAAACTTGCAGGAACTTGATTATAGTTTCCAATAGAAAATTCCAAAGGCTTTATATGTTTTAGCACACATAATGCATTTTCAAGCATCAGAACCAACAAGATCTGGCTCCACAAATTGGTTGAAGAGGCTTAATTTAAGGCTAGACCGTTCAATTCTGGGAAGTGGAATGCCTGGAGGGACAGGGAACGCTCTCCGACAACAGGCACCCTTACCCCAAAATGCTCGCTTGAGTGCTCGGTCACTCAAGTTGAGTAGTGAGTGCTTGGTCACTCAAGTTGAGTAGTGAGTGCTTGGTCACGTCGGCACCTTGGCTACTTCTGAAATATTATCAAAGCAAACAAATAAACAGAATCATAACGGGTTTCAGAATACAGATGGCAATGGAGCATTTAGATTAGCAACAATTACTGGTCACTGCACTCTGTAGATTAAGGGAGGTATAATCAGCAAACGACCAAAACTGTTAGTCGAACTAAGAGTAACGTGGTCCTTAATCAAACTTGTCCTATAATTTAATCCCAAAAGTGCAACACCACTTTCAGGGGGTGCAAGCACTGTTTGAAGTTACAGTCCACACAGACACACACCTTGAAGCCTCGATAAACGATCCTACATTATACAGTGGGCAAGATGTCTTCATCGCTATCGTCTCTGTACTCCATGGTACTGCCCTTGCTGGTATCACGTATCAGCTCTTCATCCTCATCGTCACTGTAGATGCTCCGGGCATTGCTCTGGCCGAGTAAAGACTCCTCAACATCGCCATTGGAAAGCTTTTGCAGATTTAAGCAAAGAGTCGGCAGTAGTTAAGGGATAATCCTAATAATGATAATAATAACAGTGGATATTTGTGTAGTGGAAAACCCAATCCACATGGATTGGGTTTTCCGTCCCTGCCTGATTCTGTGGGTTCCCCTGGAATATTTATCTGGGCTTTTCCTCCCTCCTCTAAAACTGAACATTTCTCCATTGTCTTAACTGTTGCTTCATCCTGTAATAAGTGATAAATGCGCGGTTGGATGAACAAAATAAACAAGAATTTTGCTCGTGGCTTCCATTCACTCAAATACAGATGTACAGTAAACTCTGACTAAGTTGGCACCGCGTAACTCGTCATATCATCAAGTCGGCCTTTTGACAAAAGTCCCGATCGTCTGTAATGCATTTCCATTGAAAATTTCATTTCTAAGTCGTCATTTCGTATAAGTCGGCATGTTTTTCTCGGTCCCTTTTCCACAAAACCACAAAGATTCCTTTGTGTAAGTCGGCATTAAAAAAAAACCTGTGCTTCGGTATAAGTTTTCTTCGCCGCAGTTGCCAGGAAGTGTCAAGTGACAAGTCCCACACTGCTTGACTGATGTCTGTTTATTAGCAGCACAGGCCGTGGTTGATAATCGGCCAGCATGAGTACATCAATACCAGTAACCCCTCTAGTGCTACACGCATGCGCTCTGTCCATTTTGTGGGTGGCCTTGTTGAACGAACTTAACCAATGCGTGTGTGGATGATGAGTGTATGTTTTCTGTACCGTAACTGTATCACATACATGTACGTACTGCACAGTTGAGTCGTGATGTGATATGCAAGTGGCTTGCCATCCTTGCTTCGTCCTTAGGGGCAGGCATGATCAATTATCGAATTTGCAGTCCGTGATGAGGATAATAATCAAGAAAGAATTTACCGGGATCGACCATGGAGGTAGAAATAAACCAGGGTATATCAAAGCCACTGAATTAGTGCAAGGAATCATAATGTACATAGGTAATACATGTGTACGTGTAAGTCAGCAAAATGACGACTTACAGCACAAGTCGGCATTTGCGTAAGTCGTTATAATTTGAGTCCCAAGAGTGCTGACTTAGCCAGAGTTTACTGTATAAGGAAAGCAATCGTAACGATGGAATCTCCAGACCGTAAGCAGTAAGTGCAGCCAAAGGCATGCTAACCTTGGAAAAATATTTGCTTTAATTTGGTGACGTAACAATAGAAATCTCCATGTGTGCTTAACCTTTAGCACAACGGCAAGCGCCGCCGTGAAATAGTGCTTAAGGTTAGCAAATTTTTCTGCCAAAGTTAGCACAACTTTTCTACTAACTGTTAAGCACCTCCGTGAAATTGGGCCCAGCTTGTATGAGAAAACCAGCGCTTTGGCTTTGTGAAAGATTTAGGCACAAGGTCACACTGCACTGTCACAGAGATTTTCACACAAAGACTGACAGAGACGACAACAAATCAGCAACAGGTGTTCATTGGTGCTATAATCATAATTTAGTACTTACCTGTGAATATGAGTAACTGGGCACATTACTGTATGCCCCAGGAAACAGGCCCCTGAGTTTATAGTAAACAGCTGACCTGGAAAAGCCGCAAGAAAAAAAGAGAAAAATTCAAAGAAATGAAGGTATTAATTCAAAGAGTAGGTCATTGATAACCAGGCATTATAGGTACTACTCTCCAGCACAATTACTGCAAGTCTGTAACACTACAGGTGCTAGTCAAACAACTATTGGTACTGGATTCAAGCATTATAGGCACTATTCTACAGCACCGTGGACACTAGTCTACAGTACTGTAGGTGCTGACATGTGGAGTAATGGGTATTTATAGTCTCCAGCACTACAGGTGCCTGTCTCCACTATGGGTGATTGCGTAAAGCACTACAGGCACTGATCTTGTGCATTATAGATGCTAGTCTTCATCACCATAGGAGCCCATCGCCAGCACCATAGGTGTAGTCTTGAGTACTTCAGGTGTTATTTCCTAACACTCTAAGTGCTTGCCTCTAGCACTCTAGATGTTGACGACGTAGATTATATATGTACAGTACAGGTGCTAGTCAGAAGCACTTCTGGTGCTTGTATCTATTGTTATAGGTATTATTTTCTGGCAGTTTCTAGCACTCGCAGTTGCTAGAAGTCAATGCCATTCCCAGCCCTTCTGCAAAAGACGTCGTGGCATTGCTTTAGGTGACTGAAGTAGTACCTTCTCTCTGACTTGTGGAATACAATGATGAGCAGACAGAGCACAACGACGCCTACGAGTATGCCCATCACCACGGGGACCTTGGAGGTCGCCCCACTGGCGGGGCTGTCTGACCCCCCTTTGCCCCCTCCACCCCCTCCGCCCCCACTGTTGGGCTTGGGAGCCTGAGTAGGAATCCTGTCAGTGTAAAAAGAAACACATTCAAGAGCTCGGGGTCATGAATTTGGTATACTTGAAGGGTAACAGCAACTGAACTTTGAATGAAGGGACTCTAAAATGTTTTGGAATTAAGGGGGGGGTTGAGCTTACGCTGTGTTGCACATCGTTGACGTCAGCCACAGGAAGTAGTACTGGCAACTGATGGACTCAAAATCAAAAGTGGGCTTCCCCTGAAAAAAAAAGACACAAAAAATTCAAATCAATGCTAAAACTTGGACGCAAGCAGAGCCGACACCCTCTTTATCTTGGTAAAGGCTCCTCCTGTCCCCACTATTCCTGACTCCTGTCTGAGCACTTGACACAGACAGAGCTGTACACAGAAAGACTGGCGCCAACTTCAGATTTTGAAAATAAAATAGCTGTTCACAACATGAGCAGTGCAGCATAATCCACCATTTTGGTTCCAACAATTGAGACACTCATGTCGCAACTCCCTCCCTGAGCAGCTCTAGTCACAGACACTGAAAACTGACACCTTTGGGAACGCATAACTTTTCAACTAGTCCCCCCCCCAAATCTTGCTCCTTCCTATGCACTCTCACCCTACAATGAATCCTGAATAGAGGCTTTGCATTGTAGCCATATTGCTGGGCAGTTCTTTCGTTCCAAAGGAAAACCTCCTTTGTGCAATACCTTGTGGAACAAAAGTGCTGGCCTGCAAGATGGCAGCTATGCAAACCCTCTATACTGTGATTTCATATCAAATTAACTTGCTCGGTGGGATTCGAACCCACTACTTTCTTCTTCTTAGTGCCAACGTCTTATTGCTCAAAAAGTGACCTGGCAGGACCGGCTGGGTTGGTTTGAATTGGCAGTGGGCATGGCGAATAACCCACCAATCCTATGTTGGGATCACACTGGAAGACGATGGTCGTCTCCACGTCTTCCACACCTTTCTTCCGGCAGGTGTTGGGGTTGGTGATCACCATCTCCAAGATTTCATCTGGGTAAGAAGGGAAACGTCAAGAACCAAAACACGTGATTCCCGAAGGTACATACATTGTTTGGCATGCACAAGGGTTTATCCACTACAAACACAGGGTGAGGGTTCCCCTCATTTTCTGTGTTTTCTCCGAATGATGCAATCTACATTCAGAATTCACATCTTGGCGTGAACAGAAAAAAACCTTTTATGCTTGTTATAGTTGAGCTCTGAAGACAAATGACACTGCAGTTCTATTTGGATGCGTCTGTATTTATTTGAAAAGATAAAATCAGAGAAAACATGTTTTCCTTACAGGTGCTCTTTAAATGTCCTTTAACAAGTCCCGTCACAAGTTCAGTCACAAGTCCAATCACAAGTCCCGTCACAAGTCCACTCACAAGTCCCGTCACAAGTCCCGTCACAAGTCCCGTCACAAGTCCAGTCACAAGTCCAGTCACAAGTCCAGTCACAAGTCCAGTCACAAGTCCCGTCACAAGTCCCGTCACAAGTCCCGTCACAAGTCCCGTCACAAGNCCCGTCAAAAGTCCCGTCACAAGTCCCGTCACAAGTCCCGTCACAAGTCCAGTCACATGTCCCATCACAAGTCCCATCACAAGTTCCGTCACAAGTCCTGTCACAAGTCCCGTCACAAGTCCAGTCACAAGTCCCATCACAAGGCAAGTCACGAGTAACAGGATGAACAATGACAAAGGAATGCTTTTGTCACAGCTCATTTGAATAGCTTGTGAATTGGCTTAAGACTTAATGAACTTTGATGGACTTGTGATGGACTTACAGGGACTTGAAAGGACTTGAATACAACATTGGCTACGACTCTCTTTTTTTAATGGGTTGTAGTCAAGTCTATCGCTGAAGCATTCCTAGGTTAATGTCTATCCTGCTACCTGTGGCTGGTCTGGCATCTGAACTTGTGAAAGGACCAATGACATGAGATGCACTCAACTAACAACTTAACCACAGTAGCAGGCTAAAGATATCATTACGCCAGACCCACCCTTCATGAAGAATTTTTCCTGCGACACATCACCAATGTTCCTGAAGAATGGGTCGTCTTGTTTGCTCTGGCAGACAGCGGCAGTGCTACAGACTCCGTTGGCGTCCCCGTCTACTTGGGAAATGGTTGAACCAAGGCTAATGTAGTAAGTGTAGACCGACTTTTCTCCACTTTTCTCATCTCGTTCATCTCCCTCGGCTACCCAGGTGCTGAGGAAACAAAACACTTCCATTTCAAGATTTTTCACTTTCACGCAAATATATCCCTTCACCTCCTTTTTTATATAACGCCTTATTTGACTGAGATAAAGGATATCACAAAATGCCATACCTGTGTTTAATGAGGGGTGAAAGGTCAAAGGTCGCCTTAGTCTCCGGATCAGTCACCTTTCCATTCGTCACCTCGACGGCAACCCTGCAAGACGCGATCACTTTCAGTTTCAAAAGGCATTTCATTAATGTTACAATGTCAGAAAAATCTGAAGAAAGAACCTTGACAGGAGAACGACCAGCGTCCAGTAACAAAGCAAGAAAGCAAACTATAATTTGTTTGTCACGTTTTACCCTCCATTTCGTACCTCTCTTCGCTGCAAGCGACCTTGGACTCCCAGACAAAGATGAACCTGCATTCCGAATCGTTAGGGGGGGAAACACTGCCGAAAAAAAAAAAAAGAAACCGCAATTCAATGAATCCATGCGCAGACAACTGGGTGGTCATTATTTCAAGAATGCTGCCAAGTTTAACCATTGAAGTGTTGCATAATTGTAAGCAAGCTCACTTAAATGTGCCACACGATGGATCAAGTGCTAACAGGCCCCAAAAAAGGAAGAAAATTGATGTCATACTTTGCAAATTTACAGTGCTGAAAGAGGTTGACTGCAGTCGAAACAGTTGTTGATCTTATGAATTTCAAGATGAAGAAAAAAATTGACAGTGCAGGAAAGCTTTTGTCAGTCACAGCATGGTCTAAATGTGACTAGCAGCAGCCATCCTCTACAAACTTGGGTGATCATTTCCATACGAATTTGACTTAGTGTCCCAAATGTACATGGCGGACCTTTTCAGTCTGGGACGTCCCACCCTATCGGAGCAGGTGAGGATGATCTCGCTCTCGGCGATGGCATTGTTCCCCTTGCCGCAGGCGCCCTGCTTCCCCTCTCGGAAGGTGACATGCAGACTGGGGTTGCTGGCATCTCCTGTGGTGGTGGGGGAGAGAATCATCCCGTCAAGTGCTTGGCAGCCAACCAGGCAAGCAATGCATTTTCCCCACTCGCCTCAAGCCAGTGGTTGTCTCCTTATCAATAAGTACTTGCAGTATTTGAGAACATGTGACCCAACACGCCAAACTGGGTTGAAGTAGGTAACCTCATATTCCTAAAGCAGAGAAGCTTCTACTTTTTTTATACTCATGAAAGATTCACAACCATTCCTGTCCAAAGCTATCAGCAGAGCAAAGTTAGACTTTGGATCACTCTGAAGCACAGGAAAAAAGCAGGGGAAAGGACTTGTCAAACATTTCAGCCTTTTTTTTGTTTAATTATTGGTCACATATTTGTTATTCACAAGCACTGATTTAACATCATTTTCCCTACTCATCAGGCTCAAAATATCTCAACATTTCTTAAGGTGTCTCAGCTCCTTAATAGGCGAGTTTACTAGTATACCAAGCCCAAAACTACCATTTCAGGTACAAAGCTTCATCAACAACAACTATCTCTGCCTTCCACAGGCACTTGCTTACGAGGGGAACATAGGGGTGAAATAACTTGGGCAAGGTTGCAAACATGGGATCAGGAGTTACACACTTCAAACCACTGAGACCTTTTTCCAGGCCAGGTCGAGGGACACTGAGCTTCTTTGCCCCTGAGGCTATTCTGGACAAACAGCGAATTGCACAAGAACCCAACTCCTACCTTCGGCGTTGAGTAGCTGCGTGTAGACCATGCCCAGCACGTCCACCGTTCCGTCGGGTCGCTGCCTGCAAATGCTGGCCTCTTTGGGGCACTCGTCTGGTGTGTTGAATGCTGGCTGGCACAGGTTCAGGAAGTATCTGAGTTATGCAAGGTAAATATCACACGTGAGACTATAAACAACGGTCGCTGCTGTAGTTGAGATCGTCACAAGACTAGATAGGGAAATCATTCACAAGACCCATCATAAGACCAGTAAAAAGACCAGTCATAAGACCAGACAGAAGACCAGTCACAAGACCAGTCATAAGACCAGACACGAGACCAGTCACAAGACCAGTCATAAGACCAGACACAAGACCAGTCGTAAGACCAGACATGAGATTAGACACAAGTCAAGATCAGACACAAGACCAGCTACAAGACCAGGAGCACGACCAGTTTTAAGACCAGCCACAACTTGAAACCAGACCAAAGACAAGACACACGACCAGTCAAGTACCACAGTGAAGAATGACGACGGAGCACTTTTATTGCAGTTCATTTGAGTATTTAGTGTCTTGAATTCAGACTGGAGGTCTTGTGATTGGTCCTATGATGGTCTTAAGGGGTCGTACAAACTAACAACAGTGACATTTTAGTAATTACTTTTCTGCTACACTCATCCAGTGACTAATGTAAATTCCTTTGGTGACATGTGACACCTGTGCCTTGGAAGTGACAACAATGACATTGTGGCAATGTCAATTGTGCTTACAGCCAACACAAAGTGCTATGAGTAAATGTCAAATTGCCTCTGACACAGTTGAAATTCAAACAAACGGGGTATTTATGAAATTCGTTTGATGGGACTTACTTGTTTCCCTCGCTGTCTTGGAATGGCCAACTGCCCGTGATGAGCGAAAGAGGCTGGAGGTCGTAGGCCTTCTCCATGTAGGCCAGGTCACAGGGCATGCTCAGTGGCGGACAGGCCAGAGGCGTCTCCCACTGGAACATGTAGTTGCAGGCGTTGTCCGACTGTGAAAGGAGCGAAGGGAGAAAAGGGTCCGGTTAGATTTTGATAAGATTCAAAGTAAATTGCTTGAACAAAATACCTCACACTAAGAAGAACCTGTTCATATGGAGCTTTATTGTTAAGTGATTATACTGATAGGGTTGCATGGCAACCAAGTCTTTTTGATAGGCTTTAGAACCAAGTATTCAGTATCATGTTCCTGAGCAAGACAGTTTACTGCAATCAGGGAATAGGACATAGTAGTGCACTGAGACTCACTGAAAAGAAGGTCGGCTGGTTGGGCTTGACGGTCTCTGAACACTTGAAGAAAATGATCGTTTTCCTTTTCTTGGAAGCACCTGGAAGAAAACAGTTGTTGTAAAACAGGGAACTTAAGTCATCTGAGGAGCAAGCATCAGACATGATGGGAGTTTCTATTATGAAGAGGTTGCAGCCTCATTGACAACATCTTGACATGCGCAAATTGGTAAGTCCACGAAATTTCACTGATTATTACACAATTTTGACAGTTGACACAATATGGGCAGTTGACACCATCTGGGTAGTCTTTAACTGCCGATGCAAAAAGCAGACAGGAATGGTCTTTTTACCAATGAGGGTACACTATTAAGATATGTAACACAATTTGGGCAGCTGACACTGTCTGGGAAGTTTTGACTGAATGTGCACAAAACGCTTAGTAATGGTACCTTTACGAATGAAAGAAAAACATAATTTTACAATAAATGGTTACTAAGGCTGTGTTTGAGAAAGGCTTCCAGAGCTATGGCCACGTCTAATGTCAGAGCATCTCTGCATATTTCCAATGGAGTGAAGACCTAGACCTAGCTCAGGACAACTGATTTGGATGCGGCCTTAGTCCTCACTTCCTTCGCAGGGCGAGCCACCGGTGTACTGCAACTTCACAACGTGCCCCTCTGTCAGGAACTCCTGGGACTCCACGGTCCCCAGCGAGTAGACCCCGCCATTGTCCTGCAGGCAGACCGCCGAGTCCTGGCACTGACTGTCCCCGCTGGACACTGCGTTGCACAGGTGGACTCTGTACACGGCATTATCAGGTCCGGTGACCTGACAGGTGTAAACGACAGAAGGGGGCGGGGCAAGAGTAGGAGGGAGTGGAGGTAGAAAAATGCTTATAATGTTGCGAAATATTTTATGTTTTAGGCTTTGAGAAAGCAAGCTTCTCAAGATATGATATCTGATTTCAACAGCTGTAAACAAAAGAGCACATAGTTCAACCATGCTGGAAAGTTGGACGATGTTTGTTATTGCAGGCGAAATCTAAACGACCCTATACTTGTCTTCCATGATCAGGAAGTTGTTATAAAGGGAATAAGTATGTGCTTGGCCAGTCTTCAATGTGCACTGAAGACCAGAGAATGGACGTGACTAATGCCCTGACCAGGGGCAGTATCAGCATTCATTCGCCTGAGCCGGTCTTAAATGTTAGTTCAAGACCAACCAAGCGCGTAGTCACTCCACACCGCTTTAGTCAGAGAGTCAAAAGAAGTCATTATACAATAACTTGTCAAGGATTTTGTTCAAAAATGTTTGCTTTCATTTTACTGAACACCCCCATCCATTTTATGGTATATTCCTTGTGCAAGTAGTCCAGAGGAATGTCCTTGTATGGACTTGGCACGCGCATGGCGAGTTCAGCGTGCCACGGCACACACAGACTCTTGACCAACAGGAATGGATTACACTGTCTCGTATCCAGGTGCCAGCAGGCATTATCAATGTTAATACACGGTCAACTTGTGCGTTGTTGAATAGGGAGACTGTCTGAGACATTTAAGAATCAGTTTTTAACAATGGCTTGGCTCCTGTTGTTCAGTTTCAGCCAATCAGTTTCAGCCAATCAGTTTCAGCCAATCAGTTGAGTTCCTAGCCATCATAAAGTCCCCAATGTGACTTTGTACCTCTTGTTCGCTCTCGGCCAGCGAGCTGAGGTCGTACTCATACTGCAGTCTGTTGTCAAAGTATTTGCAGTCCTTTCCTTTGGAAGGCTTGGCGGGCGGACAGACGGCGTTGGTCAACCAGGAGAAGTGATAGGTGCACTCACTGTAGCTCTCCATGGTCGGGGTGCCCTTCAAAACGAGTCCAGAGAAGAAGAGCGTGGTTTATGCAGAGGTGACAAGGCAGAGAGGTAATCTTACTACACCCCTTTTATACATGGTGGTAGCACTTCCTGCAGATGAGTATTTTAGAGAATTTCCCACACAAGTCGACCTCTGTGCTCTGCTGGAATGGAAATATCTCACGAGACGGTAAGCACAATGATTGCTTTCTGAGAGTACTTTACCAGAACTTTTACATCAAATTTGGAAAATCTTCAACTTTTGATTGGAAGGGCTAGCAAATTACATCTGGTTGAAAGTGCTGACAGTCTGTGACCTCAAGACGATGAAGTTTTGGTCAACTCAGAACGTTACACTTGCTTCAATGTTGAACACTGCCAATTTTAAACCAGTTTTGTAAAACAGTTGGGTCAGCATGGTAGTTCTTCACTTTTATCTCAGCTTTTTGTTTTAAAGGTCTCTGGCTGTTTTAGGTGGACTGAATATTCATTAGGTCAACTGAACAGTCTGTCTTGACTGAATATTAATTAACTCATGTGAATATTCATTAGGTAACTGAAAATTCAGTATTTGTCATTTTTTATTTGACAGCTGTCCGGTATCATTGTGAATTGAATTAAATTGTCAGGTTTGAAAAGAAATACATTTTGGTCTTCCCTTCTGAAAGAAGAAGAACTTGAGCATACTTGGGAAGTGCCCCGCTCACAGAACAGTGTGATCAGCGTGGAGATGTTCTTCTGATTGTCCTCTGGGCAGACATCTCCCTTGGTGTAGCTCATGACGACATGGCCGTCGACAATCTTCGGCCCATCATTCACTCTTCCTAGATTCTACATATCAGAACAGAAACAACCAAAGATCAAACAGGGAGAAATAGGAAATCAGGTGGACAACACCCATTCTACAGTTTTCCAAGTCATGACCATTTTTTCCCGATGATCTCAGATTTGCCATGCCAGAGAATTTCCTTTTAACTTCAGTGTGCCATGGAGTGTGAAAGACAATTCTTTAAGGCCAATTTATTTGATTACGTCACTACAAATTCACACGACTCTGTGGAAGCTAGAAGTGACACGGTTGGTCACTTTCAACAAAGTAGCGAGAATTCTTCCAAAATCAGAAGAAAAAATCTGTCAAATTGACTTGAAACTGAACCAAATGAGAGTAAATGAAAGCTTAAATGATAACCCATGCCAAGCAACACAGCTGGGTTAAAATATCCTGAGTTGGTTTTGAATTCCGGAACAAGACTTTCCAAATGTAAACAGTTGATGCATACCACTTGACCGCTGGTCTGATCCAAGCAAGCTGCTGACCCCGGCGGACACCTGACTCCAGGGATAGGATTCAAAGGTCGACAGAGGTTGATATAGTACTGTTTGTCGTCGGCCAGGGACTTGGCCAGATAGTAGCCCCGGTCACTGACCAGGGGTGAAAGGTCAATGACCTGTGACCCATTGATCACATTGCACTGAATCTGTGTAAGATGAGAAACAATTGATTGGTTGGACTTATAATAACTTCAATCAGCTGTTCCGCAAATTAAAAAAAAAGATTAGTTAGGCGACAAAAATGGCTCCGGTTTCTGGTCAGCACATGCGTCACTGTGGACCTGAGCGTCAGCAAAATAAAAGTTATTTATTTGGTATAATATGATGTCCAAAAGCTGTCAAATTTGCTTGATCAACTGGAATCCTGCTATTGCGTAATTTTAACGCGTTTTGATGGGTACGGTCAAGTAATATGTACAATAAAGGAGTCCCTCTAAGCCCCAATACATTTAGTCAGACACTCTTATTCAGATGACATCATTTCTGCATAGTACATTTACTTCTGGGAACCAGACAAAGGAGGTGGTCTTATGTTCTGTATGCATCTACAAGCTGGAAATACTTTTAAACAGCAAATGAGAGGGCCAGTCTATTTCAGTGTTGGTAACAGTGGCACGTAAGTACAAGCACATTTCTGGGGAAAAGAAAAGTGAGGGCAGCAAACAAAGAAGCTGCGTCACCGTACCACCATTGGAGCCAGCCTCTGGTCAAAGACCGCAGACATTTTTGGGGGCCTTACATATCTCAAGGTTCCATTTTAAGTGAACTTAAATTCCGACGATAATTTGACTTTGGGGGACATTTTAAACAATTTAAAGAAAAGGAAACCATCATTTTGCATCGGGGAAAAAGCTAGCCTATCCATACTTTCTAACTTTTCACCCAAATTCTGCCTCCCCTAAGCCTACTCGATGAAAATGAAAAAATGCTAAAAATAATATTTTTGTTGGCTTCATTAAAACTAGTGTTTATCTCTAATCTGCATTTCCCCATTTAGTCAAAGCAGGAGTGTGTCCAAACGTACAAATTCCTCGCAAACGATGGAGGTGTGCCACGAGATGTAGTAGGTACAGTCCTCTGACTCGTCCACGAACACGGGCTCCCCGATGGCACCGCGATCTAGCGAGCATACGAAGTTGATGACGGTGCTCCGGGTGAAGGCGCCATTGTGGCAGGGCGCGCCGTGCTCATAGTTCAAAAACAAGGTGCCGTCGCGGAAATGCAGGCTGCGATTGAAGAGCCCACTGTTGAAATTGCGGGGGTTCGTGGTGGCCGTTTCCATCTGACAACAACCTAAGGAGGCCAAGATTCCAGTGAGGAAAGAACAAAAGGCATTACAGACTGCAGCATGACTACAAAGGGGATGCCCCCCTGCCACAGAAGAAATCTGTACCCCCCCACCCTTGAAATTTTGACATGTACATGTGGGCAACCTTGGTGTAAGCAACAACTGGATTTGCTTTCGGTGCCCCTTGAAACCCACTTGTTTCAGAACAGAATCGCTCTCAGCGCTATCACAGCACTGCTTAACACAACACAAAGAACAGCTGCTAGACATGATGGAACAAACTAGATAAAATCACTTTCAACCTATTCTATCCGCTCAGAGCAAGAACAAAAGAGGGCATGTTTTGAAATGAAATTGACAGTCGTTTAATACGCACTCACTGCGTAGGCGCCCAAGTTTATGCACATTGGACGCAGAGTACACTGAGTTTGAATTCAGTCTAGAATAAATGGTCTTCGTGTGCACGCTGAACGCGCGCAAGAACCCGGTTGGAAAACACACAACCATCTGTCTTTGTGTTGCCACTGAGGGTGTACTTCAGTTGAGGCAGATTGCCTTGAAATATCAGCACTTGCAGAGACAGAAGTTCCTGTTATTTTGTTAAATAATAATGCATTTCCATAAAGTGCACACATCCAGCAATATTGCTGTCAAAAGCATTACATAATTGTTATTACCCATGCTCATCGGGCGCACAAACATTCCGGTTTTAGTGAGTTTAAAATTGACAAGTAAAAACACAAGCTAACAAACATAACATTTGATCCGTTCCAATTCTACAAAAGTCAGCAAAAATAAAATGGGATTTCAAGACGAAACTTCCAACTCCTGCACAGCACCCCCTCAGTTCTTATTTACCAATGTTGTCACCGGTGCATGCCGAGTTCTCCAACGGCCCCTTGCAGAGTGAGAAGACATACTGGTGACCCTTGTCGCTGTGGACGGTGTAACCCGCCGAGCTCTGCAAGATGTTCAAGTCAAACTTGTACCCTGTGGGCAAAAGCCGGAGCAGGACAGGTCAGTCCCACAGTGATATTTATCCCACTGCTGCCACCGTGAGATGATTCTGTGCCACTTTCTGTATGTCCCCTCTGAACTCCTAAAACAGTTTTCTCACACACAGTCTTAACAGTCTGTGATATTTCTATAACACTTCACAAGTAATGTCTACAATGTTTTTGTAATATATTCATGATATAGTCAATGATATTTCTACAATATTTGCGAAATACTATTGTGATATTTTTCTGCAATATCTCCATGGTCACGTCGATATTTCGGGTATACTTCTAAGGTGATGTTGACAATATTTCAGTGACACTTTCAAGAACATCTGTAAATTTCCATAATACTTTAAAGACAATGTATCAGATATTTTTGTAGTATTTAAAAGGTAATGCCTAAAATAATTCTTGAATACTTCCACGACATCTCTCTGACATTTCCTTACCAGTAGCTGGATTAACCGCAGTGCAGTCTGCCGTCACTTCTTCTTTCTCCTGGTTGATGGTGCAAGCCAAGTTGGTCAGCCAGATGAAATGGTACTCACAGTTGTCGCTGGTGAAGGTGTACTGTGGAGTGCTCCCCTAGCATTGGACAAATAAACAACAGACACGAGGATGATATTTTTCTGCAAGAGACATGATCCCACTGGTGTAACTCTTCCAGTTTTTGAGGCTTCAGAGCATGATATTCGTTGGGAGTGATGTCTTTGTGAAAAACTGGTTTTACACCACACCATTTTCATAAATTTGGTGTCAAATTTTTTTTCACCAACTATGTGGTCCAAAACACAACTCACAATGCTGACTGTTAAGTCTTGGAGCTATTCCAAGAAAACTTTCATTGGACAACAAATTCCAAAGGTGAGACACTTTAAGTGGGTCAATGAGCAACTTTCTGGGACTTTCACAAAGACTCTCCATCAAAGTGCCCTGGAACGAGACTCATGATGGTGTCGTCCAGTCGGCGACTGCCAAGTCCAATGATCACTGACCGGACCAGCACTGACTTCTTACCACCCCTTCCTTGTCACATTCCAGGCTGATGACTGTGCTGCGGTTAGCTCCGCCTCCAGAGGGGCAAGGGTCACCGTTCTCATACCTCAGGACCAGGTGGCCGTTTTCCAAAGTGGGCCCTTGGCTGACCTCGCCCAAATTAAAATACCTGAAACAGTTGAAAGTCACAAAAATACTTATTCTACAAAAATATAAAACTACTCTTCTCAACAGTTTTTATTTTGAAAATGACGGTGGAATTGACAGTTAACAGGTGAAAAATACGCGAACAAATACGCATGTATTTACATATTTGCAATTTGAGGAAGTGAGCAACGTAAGTAAACTGACCTAATCCTAGTGTTATTATCTGTGAAAACGACTGAGCTCTATGCCGTTGAGACAGATTTTTGCTTGTATCAGACCAGTTGTCCTAACCCCAGCTGCGATATCAACTTCTATCCCCCAAGTGCATCTAGGATTCCCAAACTCAACCACGGTTGAATTCCGAGTGAGACCATGTCCGTGCAGTCACAGTATGTGCTGACTGTGAATACGTGGGTGAGCGCTGACAACACGGCTAGCCATAACTCTGAGAAGCCTGTTTTCAACACGGCCCAGATCTAAGTCTTTGCATATGTCACATTGGCCGACAATAGGCATAGCCTTAGCCATGCCTTAGCTCGGAACTTACTTGTCGCCTTGCTTCAAGCACGCAGCTGCATTGTGCGGACAAGTAGAACCTGGGAGAAAATGAAGAAAGGGGCGTGCTAAGAACTGCCACGAGAACTTAGCCAATCCAAATATCGGAAGAGGGAGAGATTGAGTCGCTCAGAAGTTTAGTGACTCAGCAATTCACACTGAGTCACTCACAGGGTCAACTTGAACTACTCTTTTAATCAATTACAGTTGTTCAATCTGAGGATGAAAGTGAGTCACTCAGTGAATCAAACTAGCTTACTCAGTCGATGTGAATCACTCACTCTGCCAATCACTTTAGGGTGACTATTACCTTGAAACGCAAACTGCATAATCCAGCTGAATTGGTTTTGAATCATCCACTCATATGGGTCACTCACTAAAGAAAACCTAGGTGTGTGCCAATTAGATCATAAATTTGAGTTGCTCATCAAGAAATCTGAGTTTCTCCACCGGTGAGTTAATTGGATCAGCTCACAGATCATTTTGTACCGATGAATGAGGAGAAACTTTCCACATATAACTCTGCTGCCTACCCTGTGCTGAGGACTTATGCAACAGCGAACGACAGACATTGATGAAGTACACGTCGTTTCCAACGGTTGCCATGGGGTCAACGCGGTAGTTGTCATCCACCCGAGCCAGCGACGCCAGATCAAACTGCTGCTTGTCATCACTGTAACTGCATTCCACAACCTGCAAAGGACACGAGTCAGGGGACCAGATTCAATGATCAGGAAGCACAGGGAATATTTACATAGTAAAAACTAACGGGCTACCAGTACAGAAAGTCAGGTGGCATTCTTAGCTTGTGGATTCAAGAAGTCACTGCGTACCTTGAACGGGGGGCAGGCTTGTGGTGTGGCCCACTCAAAGATGTAAGTGCAGTCGGAATCCTCTTGGATGAATGACGGCTGGCCAACACCTGCATTGAAATGTCACAAACATTAAACACGCTGGAAAGCGGTATCAGAAAGCCCTGATGGCGTGCAATATTTTACATTTACACAAGGGTGGGCAACCATTCAGAATATTTTTTTCATATTACAATGATCAAGCAGCCAGACTATGACTTCATACCCAATAAGAACACTGACTGGCCAGGGTGCACTGTCTCAGCACAGTATCTTTGGAAAAATCACTGTTTTTTTTAAACGCTGCATTTTATCGAGCAGCAGCATCTTTTTCCACTTTGGAGGTAATCAACCTGACAGAAAACCATGGGTTCGTTAATTTTTGAAACACAGAATTCTGTTAGTATGTGTGTGTGTTTGAATGGGCCTGAAGTATACCTTCAAGACTGTGTTCCAAGTTGTTTGGTGAGTAAAACCGTAAATTCCCTCAATGATCAGAAACCTCAAGTATTGCTGAAAAGAACTTGAATTTTATGACAATAAAAGTGTCATATGAAAATGATGTAGGACAGCATGACGTTGTACTGTGGCAAATGTTCAAGTTGCAAACGTGGAGCGGCATCATGGACTGTACATTACTAAGTAGCCAGGA